TTGCCTCCCCTTATGTGGCAAAGTTGGAAAAAATAGAATCAAACGAAAGTATTCTGTTTTTTTGTAAAATACAACCATAAATATGATAAAATATGTCATTTTCTCTATTCAAATGAAAATTCTTACACATGAATTACCTACTACTCTCAATATTTGCACCTTTTATTAAAGATCTAGACCGATTGTTTTCTGGTATTTCAAAATCCAAGATGGAGGAAGACACACTATCTACCTTAACCTGAATACAGGTTGAACACAAACTACTTCTACCTGTTTAAATTTTATGTACTCTATATAAGTTGGTGTCAGGTAATCAAATAAATTTTTTTTCATTTTTTTTTTTATTTACTTTATTAAATTCTATTTCTAATCTCTGCTAAATGATATTTTCATGCTGTGCACAATATAGACCCCTAGCCATCGTCTGTTACTACAAGCTAGATTTTGTAAATTATATCAATTATATATATAAATAATCCGTGATTCATAGTACATGTAGTATGAGATTTTACAGACACCATAAGGACTTAACAGAAGATGAACATGTATGACCCATTGACATATTAATTATCTCCTGATATATTTGACATTCCAAAAAAAGTGACCCATACCAGCTGTAGTGTTTAGCTCTGGCTATACTCTCATATAGGAAGAACCCCCCCATGTGGGCTAGTAAGAGCTGAAAGATCAAAATGAATAGTTCTATCCTTCAACACCCCCCCCCCCCCCCACACCCCCCCCCCCCCCCCCCAAATATCAAATGGGTGTCACCTAAAAAGTAAACTAACCCTGACCGTGACCCTAAACGTACCATAACCATAAATGTGAACTACTTTGTTTTAAGTCGTAGCTCTTTACCTAAAATCTCCAGTTTCCTTGATCTGTTGGCGGTTCTCAGTTCATAACTTGCCATCTAAATGAGTAGATTTTGAAGTTGTCGTCAGCAAAATATTAAGACCGTTCTCATACACCTAAACGCTATTTATTCCATTCCGGATAAGTTCTAAAATTACACAACTTTTTCATCCAGTTGAAGCTATCTGGGACCCTGTTTAAACAATGCACCATGCATGATACTTTTAAATGAGATCTGTTTAAAACATCGTAAATACTTCAAACAAAATATTTTTTGACTATAATTTGAGTTTCGAAAAAGTGGATCATAATCTATCAAAGTGTCGTATTGATCGCTTTCTAAATTTTTCCCTCCCTCAGCTTGTTACTGATGACCTTTGCTGTTTTTTTCCGGATTGGACTAAATAGCGATAAGGTGTATTGCAGGCTTCCGTTGTCGTTGAATTCTGTGACAGTAAAGCAAGTGTGTGAGTTGCCGGTTTTATTTCATTGATTATTCGTCGAATCATATGCCATGGATTTTGTTTGTCAAGTTTAAAAATCAGCAACAAAAAGTATTGTTGACAATCTTCTGCCAGCGTCCTTCTCGTCGTCATAATCTATATCTCAGAAGCGTTTTAAAAACCGACTCCGGACGCAAGACTTACGGATAGCGACACGATGAAGTCTTTTCACCTTTTCACATGCTTTTATATATTCTTGAAAACTATAAGATAATTATATATAGAAGTACTCAAAAATGACAAAAAATTTAAGTACTCAAAAATGACAAAAAATTTCAGTACTGAAAATGACTGAAATTTTCAGTACTTAAAAATGACTGAAATGTTCAGTACTGAAAAATGACTGAAATTTTCAGTACTGAAAACAACTTTTTCTCAACATTACTTAAAACATGCATATAATTACATGTACTGAAAAGGTATGGGTAAGAAATGTACTGATTGATGACATTTTTTACCAGTACTGTATATGTAGTGGCATTAAAAGTACATGTAAACGCTATGTAAATTCCTGGTAGTGTATTAGCCAAAAACTGCATTTTACCCCTATGTTCTATTTTTAGCCATGGTGGTCATGTTTTTTGACGAAACAGAAAATAAAACACAAACTTTATTCTAGATACCCTAAGGATCATTCAGCTTAAGTTTGGTTGGATTTGGTTCCGTAGTTTCAGAGGAGAAGATTTTTTAAAGTTAGAAAACATGATAAACAAATTGTGTAAAATTGTCCTTAAAGGGCAATACTCCTGAAGGGGTCAATTGACAATTTTGGTCATATAAACTTATTTGTAGATCTTACTTTGCTGAACATATTTGCTGTTTACAGTTTATCTTTATCATTAATACTATTCAAGACAATAACCAAAAACTGCAAAATTTCCTTCAAATTACCAATTTAGTGACAGCAACCCAACAATGGGTTATTAGATTCATCTGAAAATTTCAGGGCTGATAGAACTTCACCTAATGAATACAATAAAACACAAACTTTATTCTAGATACCCTAAGAATCATTCAGCTTATTTGTAGATCTTACTTTGCTGAACATATTTGTTGTTTACAGTTTATCTTTATCATTAATACTATTCAAGATAACAACCAATCAAAGTGCTGGATAGCACCTCTTGGAATTTTGCAACTGTAGATGTGTATTATTTCAAATATGTATTTAATCACAGCTTTGATGTTTTAAACTAAACCATTTTCTTTTCAGCAATTATCAAAAATCACTTTTTTTCATGTTTGTCATATAAAATTTTGATATTTTCTATTGCAACCTTAAACTGTAGATCTAAAATATACAATATAAGCTCTGTTAATTTCTTTATGTGTCCATGCCATATCTAGGGCCTGTGATTTTATAGTATTTTTTTCCATTTGAAACTGGGCATTACCCTAACCATAACAGTAAAATGACGGCACCAAAATTCAAACTTGGTCTTGGTTTTGTGGTTTAAAGTATTGTGTATATCAGTTTCGTAACATTTGGTTGAGGCACACTAAAGTTAGAGCATGGAATTGAAAAAAATTTGTAAGTGTTCCGCAGAACCTGGTGTTTCGCCTACTTTTGCTGTTAATCGCAGGCTCGACAAAAATGAGGAAAAAAAATAATAAAAATATTCCTCTCTATACTATTTTTTGATTGTAAGAAGCTTCTGTCCAAGTTTGGTAAAAATTTAGGATAGTTTATGAATCTAATAAATGTTTTAAAAAATTTAACTGCAGACTGTATGTAAGGTTAATTGGAAGAAAAGCTAAGTCCATTAATAAGTAAAATATGGAAAAACAAGAACAAAATTTTAACTAAATTTCCTTCTAGATACTAGCTTTTGGTCATAAACAAGCTTCTGTCCAAGTTTGGTACAAATCCAGGATAGTTTAAGAAAGTTATTAAAATTTTAACAAGAGTGCACACGCTGAAATGTCTCGCCTTCTTTATAACTAATCATTGATATTATGTTGATAGTCCTAAAAATAAAGCTTTATTACAACTGTCAAATAAACTTAACATTAACCAAGAAAACTAAACATTGACCAATGAACCATGAAAAGAGGTCAAGGTCAGATGAACCATGCCAGGCAGGCATGAACAGCTAACAATTCTTCCATACAACAAATATAGTTGACCTATTGCTTATAGTTTAAGAAAAACAGACCAAAACACAAAAATTTAACACTGAGCAATGAACTGTGAAAATGAGTTCAAGGTCAAATAAAACCTGCGCGACTGACATATAGATCATAAAATATTTCCATACACAAAATATAGTTGACCTATTGCATATAGTATTAGAAAAAAAGACCAAAACTCAAAATCTTAACTTTGACCACTGAACCATGAAAATGAGGTCAAGGTCAAACAACACCTGCCATCTAGACATGTACACCTTACAATCATTCCATACACCAAATATAGTAGACCTTTTACATACAATAGAAGAAAAACAGACCAAAACACAAAAACTTTACTCATGTTACTATAACCACTGAACCATGAAAATGAAGTCAAAGTCAGATGACACCTGCCAGTTGGACATGTACACCTTACAGTCCTTCCATACACGGAATATACTTGACCTATTGCTTATAGTATCTGAGATATGGACTTGACCACCAAAACTTAACCTTGTTCACTGATCCATGAAATGAGGTCGAGATCAAGTGAAAACTGTCTGACAGGCATGAGGACCTTCCAAGGTAGGCACATACCAAATATAGTTATCCTACTACTAATAATGAGAGAGAATTTAACATTACAAAAAATCTTAACTTTTTTTTCAAGTAGTCACTGAACCATGAAAATGAGGTCAATGACATTGGACATGTGACTGACGGAAACTTCATAACATGAGACATCCATATACAAAGTATGAAGCATCCAGGTCTTCCATCTTCTAAAATATAAAGCTTTTAAGAAGTAAGCTAATGCCGCCGCCGGATCACTATCCCCATGTCGAGCTTTCTGCGACAAAAGTCGCAGGCTCGACAAAAACTCTAGCCACAGAGTGAATGTTATGTTTCCTGGCAGAAAAAATAAGTCCATTTATAGTAAAATACTGAAAAAATGGATTTTTTTTTTTTTACAAAATTTACTTCTGGATACTATCGTATGATCATAAAAAAAGCTTCTGTCCAAGTTTGGTAGAAATCCAGGATAGTTTAAGAAAGTTATTAAAATTTCAAAAACTTCAACAACAGAGTAAATATTTGTGGAATGCCGCCGCCACTGACGACGAAATGAAAGAACGCTATGTCTCACTTTTTCGACCAAAGTCAACGGCTCGACAAAAATCAGCAATTTTTAAATTTGTAAAGGGGCATAACTCTAGAACAGTAAAACTCACGTTACCAAAACTCAAATTTAATCAGTGTTTTGTGATAATGAGCATTGTGTACAAGATTCATAACATTTGGTTGAGACAAACTAAAGTTAGAGATCGTAATCAAAAAATTCAAGCAACTTTTCCATTTGTTAAAGAGCATAACTCTAGAATTGAAAAATCGACGCCCCCAAAATTCAACTTGACCTGTGTTTTGTGGAAATAAGCATTGCGTATAAGTTTCATACAATTTGGTTTAGGAAAAATAAAGTTAAAAAACAGAAACCAATTTTGGGATGTACAGACGTATGTACAATAGTCTAGTCTGTCTACAGATTCAATCTAAACAAATTGCAACAGAAAAGATTTTTTTAATATCATATGAGATTATCATAGCACATTAACATTAAAAAAGTCTAACAAAATCGTACGGTCGGAAATCGGTGAAAATTGAAAATAAAAATAACGGTGATGTGCCTACCGATTCATGTCAGAAATGGTCCGCCATATCGACAAGGGGAGAAGACTCTTACATATGTCAATTTATAGAAACCTACTGAGTAGATGATATCACTGAAAGAATCGCTAACATAAATTTATGTTATTATACAAATATGCTGGTAAGTGTTTTTTTAACATACCCTAATGTTTTACGTGTATTTATATATTCGGAAATGCGTCTAGAAATGAATTAGACGTACAAAAGTTCTTGACGCAGGTCAAACGACAAAGATCGCTATATTTTTGTTTATTTCAAAGAAAATAAATACAATCAACTACCTTTACGTAAAATTAACTAAATTTAAACTAAAAAAGTCTAAAATATAGCAATAAAAATAATTTAAAGTAACATAGTAAGACTCGTCCCTAACGAAAACAAAAAAGTATGGAACGCCAAATTAACAAAAATGGATAGTCCTAATTACAATTTCGTCGATTTTGCACTTATTACTATAGCCAAAGCCTTTATTCTTAACTAATATTGCATTTTCTTCATATAACTAATTGTAAATAATAATTTTCTTCCTTTTTTAATGAATTATTGCCGAAAATAAACTATTTTGTAACTTTTTATTTCAGCTATCACTTGAAGTGACCTATGTTCGATTCAGCATCATTATTTTATTGGAGCTAACCACAGTCACTGTGCTAATTGTTTAGCGCAAGGATCATTTCTATATCAGGTACTATATTATATTATTCTGAATTTCTTATTTCCATGAAAATAATTTATCACAATGGAGTCAAAAATATTTGATTGCGTATCTTGCTCTATCAATAAGTCAATTCAAACTGAATGGTTAACAAAACAAATGTACGAAATATGCTACAGTAAAACACAATCGAAAGTTTTCAAGAAGGGAAAACATCGAACATAGTATACTTTTAAATGCTTTATGATAAATATTGTGCTTAGTTCAAGCTGCTCGTTTCTGTGTGTACTTTGTATATTTTGTCTTGTTTGTTTTTATGTCCTTTTTCGTTTTCTCGGACGCGATTTAAGCCCATTGATTCCACTTCTCTTGTCATCCTTTTTGACACTTCGGTATTCTCGCTTTTCAAATAATTCATTATCTTCAGTAGTGCTAGAATTCCTAAGAAATTGAGAAATGGACAAATGAATTACAGTGTATAGACACACTAAAAAAGAAACATCACACGAACAAGAAAACATTATTATTTAGAGTCAACGTTGTTAATTCTTGTTGTTCCGAATAATATTATAATGTGTATTGATATGTTATATGACATATAATGATTAAAGTATACATCAACAAATAATTTGTGTTCCTACTCTTTTCAGCTACAACTATACCATGGAGAAATGCATTGTGTGCCTAAAAGATGACCACCCAACAACGCTGATCAAATTGCGACAAAAAGGTTGTCTTGGAATCACCAGAGCTAGCCAGGAAAGAGGAGACTGTTTGTCCGCATTAGAGGGTAATTTTGTCCATCAACTCTGCAGGAAAACATATACCAATCCAAATGATATAAAGAAATACAAAAAAGAAAAACTTGTTCTACGAGAAACAAATACAAACACTCCAAAATTACGATCAAAGTCCCATTTTGATTTTAAACATCATTGTTTATTCTGTGGAAATGAAGCAACAGACTCCAAGAAAAAAGACAAAAATGTATTTCCAGTTCGTACTGATGATTTTGAGAGTAGCATACAAGATGCTTGTGATCTTCGAAATGATGATTGGGCAGCCGAGGTTCGCGGAAGACTTGAGAGCGTGAGCGACCTCCATTCAGCGGATGCTGTTTATCACCAGGCATGTAGTGTAAACTTCCGCACGTGCAAAAATATTCCTGTATTTCGTTCTCCCATATCACCGGACGCAAAGCCTGAAAACAAAAGAGGAAGGCCAGCTTTGCAAGAAGACGGTTTCTACAAAATAGTCGACTTCCTTAAACATTATGACGACGAACAGATTTCAATATCAGATCTTGTTGAAAAAATGGACGAGATGTGTGATGGGAATGCTTATAGCCAGATATATTTGAAGAAAAGATTGAAGCAACATTTTGGAGACGAAATCATTATTACCGATATACCAGGTAAAAAAAGTGTTGTAACTCTACGAGAAACCGTGAGTTGTATTCTTCAGGACTATTATCAGAGGCCAAGTAATCTAAATCCAGATGACGAAAAGAGAGCTTTGATCAAAGCAGCTGCCAAACTGATAAAAAGCGACATCCGATCTGTAGATACCACAAAGTCTATTTATCCAACTCCAGCCAACATTGCATCAGTTGATACAAATTTATCATACTTACCCGAAAGCCTGCTGTTATTCCTTTCTACTATATTTTCTGAGAAGGACCCATTAGTGAAAATAGCTTCCATAGGACAAGCAGTAATGCAAGCTTCACGACCTCGAGCACTTATTACACCGCTTCAACTCGGTCTAGGAGTACAAGTGCATCACAACTTCGCTTCACGATTTCTTGTGTCCACATTGAACAGCTTAGGATTTTGTTCGTCATACTATGAAGTCCAGAAGTTTGAATCAAGTGCTGCAGCTGTACAAGGAGTTGACCTTCCAGGCGATGTAAGCAACAGCTTTGTACAATTTGTAGCAGATAACGTTGACCACAACACAAGAACGATAGATGGCCTCAACACTTTTCATGGCATGGGCATAATAGCTGGAATTACGCCTGGTACGAAGAGAACACAACCCATTCCTAGAATAGCTTTTTCTACTGATGAAATAAAGGCATTAGCAAAGATAGATATCAAATATTACAAACCTCAATCAGATCGCATGGCTGAATTAAGTTATGCTGAGTTGAAAAACTTAAACACACTGGATAAGACTTTTCGTCTTGATCTGCTGTCGGTTATTGTTTGGCCTTTTAAGTATCCAATACCAATGTGGTCTGGCTTCATGCAGATGGTTCAGACAGGAGACTACCCAGGAAAATCATCGGTTTCATTCCTGCCTATGATAGATTTAAATGCTTCGGACATGACCTGTATTTATTCCACATTGAACTTCGTCGCCAAACAAGCAAAGCGTTATGACATAACAGCAATCTTGACTTTTGATCAACCTCTGTATTGGAAAGCCTTCTCAATTATTGAAAACGAAAATCCAGGAAGCACCTTGAAGTCTATGGTTTTACGATTAGGACCATTCCACACAGAGATGAGCTTCCTCGGCTCAATAGGGAATCTTATGAGTAATACTGGTTTGAAAGAGATGTTAGAACTCATATACGCTCCGAATGCCGTCACGCATATCCTTAGCGGAAAAGCTGTAGCTAGAGCTTTTAGAGGTCACATGTTGGTGGATACAGCACTGTATTGTTTGTTGATTGCAGAGATATTCAATATTGACGTATCTAAACTTTTGGAAGAACCCAATTCAACCCTTGAAACAACTGAAATGAAGGAAATTGATGAATTATATTCCCAATTATCCTCTGGAGAGATGTCAGCTTCAGAAGCGGGTGAATCGGACGTCTTGAAAAACCTAGAAACAACAGTCCGGAGAAAAACTGAAATTTTAAAGCAAAGTCGTACAGCAAAGTTGTGGCTGCAATATTCAGAAACGGTTCAGGTTTTAAGACAATTTATCAAAGCAGAGAGAACCGGTAACTGGCCTCTTCATTTGCAAAGCATCCAAGCAATGTTGCCCTTTTTGGCTGCATCTGGACATAATCTGTGCACGAAAACAGCATACGTTTACTTAATGACAATGCAATCTTTAGACAAAGACCATCCTGATGTGTATGCTAATTTTATCAATGGGAATCATGTCATAAGACGCAGCAATAGGTACTGGGCTGGAATATCTTCAGATTTATTTATAGAACAAGTCCTAATGAGAAGTGTGAAAACAGCGGGTGGATTGACGAGAGGTCGAGGAATGACTGAAAGCCAGCGTTCCCTTTGGCTTATGTCCATGCCAGCATGTGCTGAGATTAATCAAGCTATGCAGGATTTGTCCGGGGTAGGATACTTTTCTAGTGAACAACACAAAGACGAAACACATGCAAGACAAAAAAAGGACACTAACGACATTCAAACTCTTCTCGCGTTCTTGAAAAGTCGGAATCCATTCATTGATTCAGAGGTAGACCGTTCACTACGAAACATTGAGACAGGAGTAGTAGCTGATAAAACCGTGAATGTGGATGATGCCAAAAAGGTTGGGACTTCCATTCTACAAGAACTAGTAGGAAAGAATATAGCTGACCACACGTTTAGGAGAAAGAAGCAAGCCATTACGCTTGGAAACAAAGTTCAGGCAAAACTTGACGGCGAACCTATCAGAATAGATTCACAGCTCCTTTTTCAGAGATGCACCACTGCTGCGCATGGTATTTTTGAAGATATTTCAGAGATATTTCAATTTGAATTATGCGGAGTTCCTTCATCAATATTTGAAACCACGGGCCTTCCAAGAGAACCCCAAAAATCAACCCTTGCCGAATATATGTGGAACTTGATTGAACTTAAACCAAAAGCACCAACAGAAACCCACTTTGTACTTGATGGTGGTTCTCTTATACACCGTTTACCATGGACAAAAGGAGCTACAGTTGACACCATATGTATGACTTACGTCAATTATGTTAGCAATCACTATAAAGATGCAACTGTTGTGTTTGACGGGTATCCATCAGTTCCAACTACAAAAGATGTAACTCATTTCAGACGTACTAAAGGAATCATATCTCCAAAAGTCAATTTTAACAATGACACACCAATTAAAACAAAAAAAGATGAATTTCTTTCAAATTCAGAAAATAAACAGCACTTTATCAATACCCTTGGAGAAAAACTTAAGGACGGACATGTTCAAGTTATCTATGCAGAAGACGATGCCGATCTAAAGATTGTGCTTACAGCAATAGAAAAGTCGGCACAACATACAACTACCGTCATAGGAGAGGACACTGACCTACTCATACTGCTCTGTTATCATTCAAAAGATACTATAAACAAGATTTACTTCAAATCAGAAGCCAAGCAAAACACTCACAAAATAAAGATTTGGGACATAACAGAGACAAGGAGAAAAATTGGACCACTTGTTTGCAATATTTTGCCATTCATTCACGCCTTTAGCGGATGCGACACAACATCTCGAATTTTTGGTCAAGGCAAGGGCACGGTTTTCAAGAAAATTAGTACTAACATTAAATTACAAGATCATGCAGCTGTCTTTTGCCAGGAGTCTAATGTCGAGAGCCTTCATAAAGCAGGAGAACAAATCTTTGTTGCATTATATGGAGGGTTACAAGATGTTGAAACATTAGATATGCTGCGCTACAGAATATTCGCCTCCAAAGTTTGCGTTGGAAATATATATGTACAAGTGCACACTCTCCCACCAACATCTGACGCTGCTAAGCTACATTGCATGAGAGTTTATCATCAAACCCAAGTTTGGATTGGGAAAGGTGATAAATTAGATCCAAAGGACTGGGGTTGGCATGTTGAGGACAATAAATTGCTTCCAATTAGAGCAATACTACCACCGGCTCCCGAAAAGCTTCTTAGGATAATCAGATGTAATTGCAAATTGAACTGTGACACAAAACGATGCTCCTGTCGTAAACACGGAATAGACTGTTCCCCAGCATGTGGGGAATGTCGGGGAATGAATTGTTCAAATACAAGTAACATTACAGAAGCCGATGAACTTGACGACATGTGAAGGCATCAATATGCATGTACATTGCAGAGACATTTAACTATACATTAAGAAGACTTATATCAAAATTGTCTGTTTTTTGTTAAATTAAAACAAAATCAAATATTTTCAAAGATAAATTTTTCAGAAATTATATTTACCATCCTAATACTTTTAGGTGAAAACAAAAGTAACCAAGTAAAAAACAAAGTAATCAATTATTGAACAGTTTATGCCGTTTATTATATTAATTCAATGAATGTTATAACAAATCTAACATTAATACATTTTATGTAGAAATTTATTTCATTTTTTTTTGGGGGGGGGGGGGGGGGGGGGGTGTGGGTAATTTTGGACTAATTTCGTTGATAGATAAATAGATTTTCCTTAAAACAACCGTTTGCTTTCTTTTTTCACTTCGTAAATAATTGTAAATAATTGTGTTAAATGTTGTCCTTCAAACCTGCCTTCAAAATAACGTTTGAAAACAGCCATATATGAATCTCAAATATATGGGGTTTTTTTGCATTTTTTTTGTGATTTTATCATTAAAAGGGATAATTTTACCAATAAATTCTAACTCTGGATTGTAAATTTTACATCGGAAATGTTCTTTGTAGTTATTTTTGTCATCTGAATTCGTTTTTGACATTTAATTGACTAACATAGTGCCATAATTTCGATTTTCAAATTTTTTTCACAATTTTCATAGATTTTTGGTTAAAATCAATGTTTTTAGCCCAAAATGGTGATTTCCGATCGTACGATTTTTCTAGACTTTTCATATATGATTGTGTCATGCTTTGGTATTATAAAACCGTTGAAACCATTTCTGTTGCAATTTGTTTAGATTTATGCAATATTTGCCGTAGAAAGACTAGACTACAAGTAAGGGACGTAAATACTTACAGAAGAAAAAGAAAAAAGGTAAAACTTTATACGGTGGGGACATAACAATAGCAGTATGACGACAGGAATAAAAAGTTCATATACACTAGATTCATAGAGATGCTTATTAAACCCTGTAACACATTTTATAGTTGATGCTGTGAAATTTAGCATTGAGGCAATAACATTTGAGATTTTCAGTT